GTTTGGTAATCACATCACTTGCTGATCAGAAAATTATTGATGCTGGCAGAAACCATTTTGTAAAAGAAAAACAAATGAGCCGGGCATAGTGGCACACGCCTGTCATCCCAGCGCTGGGCAGACCGAGGCTGTCTCAGACCAGCAGCCACCCCACAAATGACTGGAGAGGGAGCTGGATGAACGATGCACACCTGTAATCCCAGCTACTCAGGAGGCCGAAGACAATGAGCTCAAGGCAGCCCGGTTACTCAGACCATTTCAAAATAAAAAACAAAAAAGGCTGGGGAGGGGGAGTGCTTGCTTAGCATGCAAAAGGCCCTGGGGTTTCACCCCTAGAACTGCAAGGAAAAAAAGCGGTAGTGTGTGTGTGGGGGGAAATCAATAAAACATGCAAACTGTGTAGGGTAAACCAAATACTGAAACAACAGAACGGCCCACCCTGTTTAAAAAATAAAGGTTGCTGATGTTTTTAAAGATTTCTGTGTTCCCTAACTATCCTAAATTGTAGATGGCTGCAACTATTTTCTGAAACCTTTAGGCCTCCTAAATGTGAGTGTTCTGAGATATATCTCTATATATCTATATATATAGTTTTTTTGTTTTTGTTTTGAGGCAGGGTCTTTCTAGGTAGTTCAGGCTGGATTTGAACTATGTAGTCCAGGTTGCCCTCAAACTCAGCGATCTTCCTGTCTCAGCCTCCCAAGTGCTGGAATTACAGGCATTTGCAACCACACCCAGGAGGCCTATTTTTTTTTTTTAAATTAGCTGAGTAATACAGTAGTCAAACACAATTTAAAAATGGAGATTTGCTCTTTAACGACGAGCAACCCCAAACAGTGATTTAACAACAAGCGGCGGTGAGTTAACTCGGAAGCCTCGGCCTGGAGTGTAAAAGGAAGAATCCTTGTGTACTGTGGCAGGCAGAGCACGTCCTTCGGTTCTTTTTAAAAACCAGGGCTGGAGAAGGGTGGGGTAAAGGGAAGATGGGAGGGGCTTGGCAGGGAAAACAGTCGGACCGACGTCACGGTAAAGGGGCCGGGGTCTTCGGTGTGCTTTAACCAGGCTCCATGCTCAGGCTGTTTCCTTTGTAAAGGACCGGAGGGATCGGGGTGGTGGGAAAAGTACACCGCGCACAAAAAAACTCGAGCAGGAAAACAGCAAAAGAGGAAGGGAAGCAGATTGGGAATAAAAGGTCGTAATCAACATTCTTCCGAGGGAAAAGCTGGCAACACTCATCTCACCAAACAAACGTACAAGCCATTAGCCAACCTCGGCCCGAAGAGCTCTCGACCGCGCCGCCCCTCCCAGCCCGGCGAGTCCCGACCCAGCGATTGGCTCCGCAGGGCGCGGGCGGCAGCCGGCTTCCTGTACCGAAGGAGTCTCGTCCCTCACTGCCGTTTGCTCTCCGCTCTGAGATGGCGTTCGTAGTTTTTGTCCTTCAGCTGGCCATCTACATCCTGTTACTTCCCGTGCACCTGCTGAATTTTCTGGGCCTGTGGAGCTGGATTTGCAAAATGTGGTTTCCCTGCTTCTTGTCGAGGTTCACTGTGATATACAACAAACAAATGGCAAGCAAGAAGCGGGAGCTCTTCAGCAACCTGCAGGAGTTTGCGGGCCCCTCGGGGAAGCTGTCCCTGCTGGAGCTGGGCTGCGGCACCGGGGCCAACTTCAAGTTCTACCCCCCGGAGTGCAGGGTGACCTGTATCGACCCCAACCCCAACTTTGAGAAGTACTTTGTGTCCAGAGCATCGCCGAGAACCGACACCTGCAGTTCGAGCGCTTCCTGGTGGGTGTGGGGGAGAACATGCACCAGGTGGCCGACGGCACCGTGGACGCGGTGGTCTGCACCCTCGTGCTGTGCTCGGTGCGGAACCAGGAGCAGGTCCTCCGCGAGGTGCGCAGAGTGCTGAGGCCGGTGAGTGCGGAGCAGAGCCCTGGTCCCCACGCAGTCGGGTCAGGGTCAGGTGGATGCTAACGTGAAACGGGAAACTGCTAGAGAAGACATTGTTGAATTAAAAAAAAAAAAATCTTAAGAATGAGAAACCCTACGGGGAAGAACGGACAAATCTCAATATCTAAAACTCGAGAACTGCTGCGGAGTAAAATGCCCTATCGACAAAATTTAAGTAAAAACAAACTCGGAAAAACTATTTGCCAGGGATGCTCAGTAAAGGGTTAGTCTCTCCCATGTTAAAAGGGATTAGGTTAGGGCTGGAGGCGGTGGTGCAATTCTAGCGCAGGGATGGAAACTTCAAGCCCGGCAAGGCGGCTCTGGAAGACCCAGTCTCAAAAAGGCCTTGGGGGACGGGTGGGGTGGGGTGGCAGGGATGCCGCTCAGTGGGAAGGCCCTGAGTTCAATCTCCAGCGCGCGCGCGCGCGCGCACACACACACACACACACACACACACACACACACGAAAGAGAAAGAAAAAGAAAAAAAAATGAAGACATTACAAATTAATAAGATCAGTAATTTTTTTAATCGATAAGAGAAACAAAATAGGAAAAGGCAGGTGTAACAGAATAATAAATTAAAATAGCCAATCATATGATAAAAATCCTCAAATTCATGAAGAACTTACTAAAGTGAGCACCATTTTTATCCAGTATATTGCCAGAGACTTTGAGAGTCAGCCTGAAACTGAGCTGAGTGAGGGACTGGACACTCACACACACAGTAGTTGCCTCATGGGATGGCACTGGATGTGAGGCAGAGGAACTTTCACTTTATCTTTGTATAAAGCCTGAAATTCGTCATACTTGTACATAATTTTCACATTACCTTTATCTTTAAAAAAAAGATATTAAAATTGTTTTATTTTGAACGAAGTTGAATAAAGGATGGCTATCTTAACATTTCAGTTTACTGTTCTGGGAAAAGGGATTTTCTGTAATCCCCAGTTGTTTTTTTTTCCCTGCAGGTTTAAAAAAAAAATTGTTGGTAATTTTAGATATACAGAATGATCACATTCATGAGGAATTTGTACCTGTACCTGGTGTATCTTGCTTCTGTTTCTCGCATTCCCCTCCCCTCCTTGTTTACAAAAGCTTTGTCTCTATTTATTTCTTCTGTTCTTTTTTTTTTCTTATCTTTTCCTCCTCCCTGCCTAGTTTTATTTTCTAATAGAGGAAGTTCCTCAATAAGAAAAGGACTTGAAGACAGGGTTATACTACGCCTCTAAACCTATCTTTAGCTCCAGGTTAAGCCAGTATCAATCAGTGAATAAGAAGGATGGATTCTCATACTCAGATGCTGCGTCCTGTGTCCTAAGCCTGAGAACTCACCGGCACACTAGTTGATATTCTGCTTAACTAATCCCACAAAACCCCTGCAAGCCAGGTCCACTGTATAGCATGATAATACATTTCATTCTTAAAAGGATCACATTCTTGGCAGCCTCCCTTAGCTCCTATAAACCATCTATTCTTTACTGTGAGAAAAACCAGAGCATTAGTACACACCCTCATGACAGTTCTTTAAAGCAGATATTTATTATCTTCACATAGGAACAAGGAAACAGACTCAGAAGTTGAGAAACTTGCCTAAAGTTACACAGCTCATTTTTTTCTAATAGGTCTGATTCTTAAATGAAAATATTCTTGCTGCTGTACCGCATACTTTTACGGGAGCTTCTCATCTCTGACCATTTCTACCTTTTCAAGCTGTTCTCTTCTACCCTTCTCCCGGCACTGCAGCCTCCAGGCTGTCATTTACCTGTTCTTGTGGGCAGCGCCATGGACCTGCTAGTGTTTTCAATTATCGCACAGACACAGAGTTCAAATCCTAAATATTTACCTCAGATCTCTCTTCCCACCCCAAACTGTCAGTCTCCTAGATGGATCTCGACATCTCTAGTTTACTATATCTGACCCAGAGGGCAAAGCCAACCTATCTAAACCCATCTCTCCTGCTTTATCTCACCTCTCGCCATGTGCTAACAATCTTTCTCGTGTCTTTGAGTCAGGAAGTTTCGAGTTTTCCATTCCTGAGCACAGGCCTCACTGACACTTACCCACATAATCTGGGGGGAACGGCATCGCTAAACTCCAATACTGCTCGAAACTCCGTGTCAACCAAGGTAGGTTTGTGAAAGGGGCTGAGACGAGTGTGTCAGTCTCCACAGTCTTTGGAGGTGACAGCCAGATCCCCTTTCCCCTGCTTCCTGCAGAATTAGGTGAGAATTTCTGAAGACCTTCCCTTCAAGTACAGAGTCTGGTGCCTGTGCTTGACCCACAGAGATCATCCCAGGCGGAGCTCCTGCTCCCCACGGGCAGTAACTTACACTTAGCATCACTGGTTGAATAAAATACCTAATGACAAAATCTCACCATGAACTCAGTAATGCTTTTAGATAGATCAACACTTTCATTTATCATATACATATTTATGAAAGTGGTATAAAAGTAGAAAACACAGCTATTGGGTCAAGGGAGGTGCTCGGTGTGGGTTCCGACTGTCCTGCTGGAACTCAGTGGTGCTTCTGTAGGCTATGAGGCACTGCCTGAGGACAACCAGCAGATGAACTAAAAGGTTTTAAAAAGAAAAAAGTAGTAGAAGTAATAACAGCAAAAAGCAACTAAATGCTAAACGGCAAACTGGGAAAAGATTTGTCGTATAGTCTTATTATAATAAAATCAGCAAGGAAAAAGCCAATACATCTAAAAAAAAATAACAAAAGACAACAACACGTGAATCAGGGAAGAAAAAAATCCCTTTAAACAATAAGCTTAACCTAAAGTCTTTCTACCTAATTAAGAATGTTAAAGTTGGGGATGGTGGTACACGCCTGGAATCCCCACACCCTAGTAGGCAGAGGCAGGAGGACTGCAACCTGGAGACCAACCTGGGTAATTTATGGACTGAGAAAGACCTGTCATAGAATTAAAAAAAAAATTAAAAACAGGCTGGAGATGTAGCTTAGTGAGAAGGTCCTGGGTTCAGTCCTTAGTACCAACTAAACACAAACGCAAACAAAATATCATCTTGTCTATCAAATTGGCAAAGATTTTTTTTTAAAGTGGTGAGTAGCTGGTTATGGGAAATGCACATTTACATCCATTGCTAGGTCGGCTATAAACGTGAAGCAGCTTTTCTAGTAGGTCATTTGAAAATTTATGTCAGTGATTTTAAAAAGGCACATACCACTGGCTCAGCCGTTCTGTTTTGTTTAAATCAGGCTTACTTACTTGGCAGTAGCCAGAGATAGTTATTGAGATGGTTATAATCTGTAAGAATGTTCACTGTAACAGTATTTAGTGTGAAAAATCAGGAAGGACCTAAATGAAAATGCTTAAATAAGTGGCTGTGAGTGGTATGAAATGTTGTGTGAAGATTTTTAAATCATGTTTTAGAATAATATTCAAATACATAAGTATAATAGATAAGGTTGCAAAGCAAAATCCTCATGTGCATTAATCTTCACAGTAGTTCTCTCTAGGTCATGGAATGGTAGCTCACTGTTTTTCTTTTTCTTTCTTTTTTTTTGGTACCAGGGATTGAACTTGGGTCCTTGCAGGCCACCGAACTGCTGAGCTAAATCTCAAACTTCTGTATTTTCTGAACCTTCTAAAATATATATATTGCTGAAGCAGTATTTCCAGCTTTCAGAGCCAGGCTGCTGAGGCCCAAGCTTGCTTCTGACATTTATTAGCCTTGTCCCTTTGGGCAAGTTACTCACTTCATGACCTTTGATGGCCCTAGTAACTTACCAAATAGCACTGTTGAGAGGATTAAGTCAGTTATCATATAAGCATTAAGGGTAACAGTTGGCATGCAGTGAGTGCTTTAAATCTTAGCTACTGTAGCTGGGCCTGAGGCAGGAGAATTGCTGTGAATTTGAGGTCAGTCTGGGCTACGCAGTGGTGGACTCAAGGCCAGCCTGAACTTCATAGCGAGACTCGGTCTTCAAGTAAGCTTTTTTTTTGACACTGTGTAGTTGAGACTGACCTGGAACTCACTATGTAGCCCAGGCTGGTCTCGAACTCACAGCAATCCTCCTGCCTCAGCCTCCTGAGTGCTGGGATTACAGGCGTGTGCCACCACGTCCGGCTTATCCGTGTCTTCTTATAAAATTGGTTTCTAGGGCCACTGAAATCTGAAGCTTCAGTCAGTTTATAAATCTGTTTTCTCCAAATTGAAGTTCTTGAAAGATTTTTCTCTTTTTCTCAGGGCAGGGCTTACTATTTCATGGAGCATGTGGCAGCAGAGGGTTCAACTTGGAATTACTTCTGGCAACAGGTCTTGGCTCCTTCCTGGCACCTTGTGTTTGATGGCTGCAGCCTGACCAGGGAGTTGGAAGACC